TTGTTGATGCATGCAAGCTTGAGCAACAAGGCCGATTGCATGTGACCAACGCGCTCGTCCAGTAGCTTCATGATGGTAGCGTACAGCTTGTGCGCCTTGTTTCGGGAATTCTTGGATCCTTGGATGTTGTGAGCGAGAGCCAAATTGAAAATGACAGCGGCAGAGTAAACGTGAAGATCCAATTTTGTGGTGTCGTCGCCATCGGATGGAATCATGATGGCCTGGCGGAAGAAGATGTGCTCATCACATTCAGCATGGGAAACCTCCACAGTCGAAAAGCTTCGAAAGCAGGACGAAGCTTGTTGTGAGGAAGAGGAGGCCAATGCGGCTGCTTGGTCTGGAGAAGCAATGTATTGCTTCATCATCTTAACTGTACTCATGAGGAGTTTGATGCTGGTATCTTCATCACCCTCAACAAGGGCAGTGACACCTTCATTGTTTAGCCGTGCGGCTTCGTGGAAGAAGGATTGATTCATTTTGGTGTCTGGGTATCAAAAAGTGTCAAGAAAAAATTGTGAGCAAAGTGTTTGTGCCACGCAAGATAAACATCTTCCACAGAACTATACTTCTTTCACTTCGCCGGATCACACTTATCTTGCTGGTCATCCAAAACGTTCTTGCCAGAAACTGAAATGATACTTCTTCGCCATTCATTGATATAAGTAGCGAAGAAGATGAGTACCGTCAAGACACTCCTTGTTACGCCCTTCGAAATATCACTTGAATTGATTATTGAAAAGTCGCCGGAACGGACTCAAGAAAGAGAATCTCGACACCGATTTATAAAAGGGTGGGAAACCAAATCGTCCTTTTTGCTTTTGCTCATTATTGTGAAATGTCCCAAACATTTATTGTTTCATTGTCACTTTGTTGACGCATTCTTTTCGGGTCACAATCTCCATTCGACGCGGGAGGACTGATACCATCTGCCAAGATTTTCAAGGAAGCGGGGAAATCAACTGCCGGAAACAGGGGAAATCAACTGGCGAAAACAATTTGAAGCAAGCATATTCATACAATAGTATTATCTGGTGTAGTGCTCACACATCCTGTCCTCCTCTAGCGGAGAAATCATGATGGTTGAAACAGGGGAAATCAACTGGCGAAACCAATATGAAACCGATACCTACGTACTAGCGGATAATATTATGTACAATGTTCGAATGTACCGCGTCTTCGTCCAATTGGTTCGAGGGAGCGAAGAAATTATAGTGAAAATATAGGAGCAAACAAACTGGTGAACATTACTTTAAAAAAAAATATCCGGCAATAACTAGAAATGGTGGTCCTATGCAAACTGCACCTTTGGACCCGGTTATACAGCACAAGCTTTTACAGGAGACGAGGACGCAGCAGACGAGCGGGTTCAAGAGCAAATGGCAGCCATGATGCATGGAAATCAATAAGCCCCTCTTTCCTGTTGGAAGTCGTACAGACGACTCCCCTGAGTCAGATAGTGACGAGTCTAAACCGTCATACATCAACCGTGAGAGTATGGAGAACCAGTCATGGGCAGATGTTGTTCGAAAGATGAACGATTGAATTACAGTAGTTTAAAACTGCGTAGAGAGTTTTGGGATGACCGAAAGCATGAGTTTGCTTTGGCCATTCGAAAACTCTTGTCCCAACTAAAGCAAGTTTTATTAACGCCTTTAAGGTTCATAGTATTAGGACTACGTTACGCCAAACAACTGAAGAGTGATCGTCTCAGAGTATCGTAGGGTTCTTTTATTATCTAACATAAGAGTTTTCAAAATTGAATATATATATTTTCTCTTTTTGAACAACATCGCTACATTTCAACGGTACATGACCAAGAAGAGCAAGGAAGAACTTGTTCAAGACTTGAAAGAAATAGAGTCAAGGGTCAAGAAGTTGATAATAGACCTTGACAAGGAGAGGAGCGACGAAAGCGGAACGAACGAACGGGAACGAGAGAAGAAGTTTCCCATCACTTTGGAAATCGGTGATAAAGTATTGATAAAGAAGCCTCAGAAAGGGCAGGAAACGATTGGAAGAATTGAATCGTTTGGATGGAAGTTTGTCACAGTAAAGACGGCAACACAAACGATAAAGAGAATCCCACAGAACTTGAAGAAAGTGGGAAACTGAAAAAGAAAAGGAGGAAGAAGAAAGATCAGATATCGCCATGAGCTCTATGGGATACAGATCGACTATGGTAAAGGGGCTCAAACAATTGAAGGCGCCCGAGGAAGATGGCCCAGAGCAAGACCTGGAGGATTTCCTGACAAGCTTGACTGACAAAGTAATCATCAGGTGGGCGGACGGAGGTGATGTGGGTTACGTTCTGGAAGAAAACGCGGAGCCCAAGATAAAGGAGCCTGATCCATTGACGGCTGCAGACGAAGAGGCAGACGCCAGTAAAGTGAAAGCGTACGATCGGCTGATGGACAAATATGAAGATCGGAAGGACACTTTTTGGGCTAACACTGTCGCTATGTTTCAGCTAATCATGAGCAACGTAACTACGACAATGCAAAACAAGATCAAGTCGACTGATGGCCATCTGGCCGCCAGCAAGAATAAAGATCTGGTTTGGCTCATGAGCACCATTGACAACATTGTCTCTGGATATGAAGAAGGAATTGTGCCCGCAGAGCTCGCGCTCGATGACGCGCCCGAGCAGATCTTCAAGATGAGACAAAAGGGAAGCGAATCCAATGAAGCTTTCGTGAAGACTATGCTACGAGCCATCAAGGCTTACAAGCGCCGTGGAGGCCCATTTCTGTGGACTCCGGCGAAGGAAAAGGAGCTCAAGACAGCTGTGGAAGCTGCCAAGAGCAAATTCACCGCAGCATGGGCCACAGGGACCGCCGTGATGACCAAGGAACAAGAAGATGACGTCCGACATGTCAAGAAAAAGATGATTAAGGATCGTAGCATCGCCATGTCAATCCTTAAGCGGACTGACAAAGAGCGTTTTGGTGACCTGATGAAGGAGCTGTCTAACAACTATCTCAAGAAGCCCAACGGAACTCCACAGGAGGGATTTCCTAAAGATGTCCCTTGAGTTTTGAAACTTCTGGAAAATTGGAAGCCGAACGATGTCGCCCGACGCGGTCGCGGCAATAACAATGATAGCGCAAGACAGCCCTCAGCAAGAACAGGAGCGAATAGGAACCCTTCGGTTTCTTTCGCCCAGACAGCTGGTGAAACAAGACAATTTTGTTTCTTTCGGGGAACCAACAACTCGTTCTACGCCACCATCACCTGTTGCCTGTGCAAGAACAAGGGGCACTACCAGAGCCATTGTCCCGCTGCCAAGGATGGAACGGGAGCAAAGTTGGAAGCTACTATCAGTGAGGTAAGCAACTACAGATGTGGTATTCTTATGAATCAACATCCCGATACTTACATTAATCCCAACTGGATTCTCCTCGATAGTGAGTCCACCGATCATATTTGCAGCAACCTGCGTTCTTTGACTCAACCACTGATGGGGAAATATTGAGACTACACACTTCCGGTGGAACTCTCGATGAGTCGACAGTGCAGACTGAAACAAGCATCCAAGATGAAATCAACTAGACCCTAAACGGAATCGCAATGGCCAACATGGATAAATGGAAATCCGAGGAGATGAAACTGACACCACAGACTTGGTTTGGAGACAGTGCAGCGAGTACACATATGTGCAATGATGACACCAACCTGTACGACTACGATGTTATTCGAGAGGAGATCAAAGTTGGAAGTGGCAAAACTATCGTGGCAACTAAGATTGGCAAGCTCAAGCTGCGAGTGAAGCAAACGAATGGAAAGGTAATCATGATGGTACTAACGAAAGTCAAGTTCGTACCTGAGCTGTGGTGCAATCTTTTCAGTCTTACGGCCGCAATGGACAAGGGCTTCGACCTCGGGAACCAAGGGCGAATCATCACAGTGACGCATGGATCGACAACTATTGGATTTGACAGAATATTCCCAACGAGTTCTGGATTCATCATGGCAGCAGAAATGGAACAGATGACAGCAGAAGGTGCATACGCCGTATTGGAAGCAGGAAGGGAAATCAGCATAGCAAAGTTCCATGAGATGTACGCACACCCAGGAGAAGCAATACCATACAACTTGAAACTACAATCGAAATTGGAAAAGTGTGAGAACTGTGCATTGGCAAAGTCAAGACAAGCAAACATATCGAAGGAGCCAGTTGACAGATCCGAAGTCCCAGGGGAAGAGCTCATGATTGATATATCAAGTGTAAAGAAGAAAAGCGCGGGTGGAAATAAATTTTGGCTCCAAGTGATGGACAACGCATCCGATTTCATATTTTCAATGTTCCTAAAGAAGAAAAGCGAAACAAGTGCTAAGATGATAGCTTTGGTGAAGGACCTAAATGCGAAAGGATTCAAAGTCAAAAAGATTCGATGTGACAGAGCTGGAGAGAACATGAAGTTCCAAGATGAAGCAAAGAATGAAGGACGCGGTTTGACCTTTGAATTCACAGCGCCCAATACACCACAGCGAAATGGACGAGTCAAAAGGAAGTTTGCAACGGCTTTTGGACGAGTTCGAGCAATGATGAACACTGCTCGAATGACAGAAACGATGCGTGGCAATCTATGGGCAGAAGCGGCAGATACAGCGACAAAATTGGACACAGCACTTGTCTATCAACGTGGTGAACAAAGTTCACATCAAAAATTCTGGAAACGAGAAGCTAGATTTGCGAGACATTTGAGAACGTTTGGTGAAATGGCAGTGATCAAGGTACACACAAAGATCAAGGGTAAACTGAAAGACCGTGGAAGAACAGTTATGTTTGTTGGATACGCAGATAACTCCAGCGGAGACACTTACAAATTCTATGATCCAAAGACAAAGCGAATCAGTTCAAGTCGAGATGTGTCATGGTTGAACAAGAGCTACGGAGATTGGAAGGGAATCAAGAAAACCAACACACTACGATTGACACAGGAAATTCTATTGGAAACGGTTCATGACAATGATATTACACAAGCACCAACAACTCACACCAATGACGCAAACACAACAGCACCAGAACCGGGACCGATTCCAACAGCTGCAGCACCAGCAGAGACGGCAACAATACCAGCAGTACAATTGGATTCGGGAGCAAATCCACAACGAGCTCCACAATTTGGGCCAACGCCACAACCGGCGACTACAACAACAGCAAGAAGCATGGAACCATCCAGACAAATATCAACGGGACAAATGGCGAGAAGCGATTAGAAAGGAATTTCGTGACATGATACGCCGTGGAGTTTGGCGAAAAATGAAACGAAGAGATCTACCATATGGAAGAAGATGCATCAAATGCAAATGGGTATTCAAGATCAAGAGAAATGGAGTGTTCCGATCAAGACTTGTTGCATGCGGATACTCACAAATTCCTGGAGTTGACTTCACAGAACACTTTGCTCCAGTTATCAATGACATCACATGGAGAATACTACTGGTTGCGATGATGATTTGGAAACTTGACGCTTGGTTGATCGACGTGGAAACAGCCTTTCTACATGGAGAATTTGATGAAGGAGAACAGATATTCATGAATCTGCCTGTTGGATATGATCTTGTGGATTCGTCAATTGATATGAGTGAAGATTGTATTGAATTAATGAAAACCGCATATGGGACCGTGCAAGGAGCGCGACAATGGTGGAAAAAGTTCGTGTCGATCTTGAAAGATATTGGATTCGAAGGTGGAGATGCAGATCCTTGTTTGATGCATTGGAACAGTGAACATGGGATTGTTTTCATTGGCTTATATGTTGACGACTGTCTTTGCATTGGAAAACCTGAAGCATTGGAGCTAGTTGAGGCAAAACTGAAGGAGAAAGGACTCACTCTGAAAACCGAAAAGACCCTGAAAGATTATTTGAGCTGCGACGTCAGCTTCAACGAAGATCGCACAAAAGCAGTATTACGTCAACCACACTTGTTGAAGACATTGGAAGAGGATTTTGGAGAAATGGTACGAAACATGCCTAAATACAAGACACCTGGAACGCCAGGACAAGGTCTTGTTTGCAGTGAAGAAGGTGTAACCGTGACACCTGAAGAACAGAAGCAATTTCGAAGTGGAACCGGAAAGTTGCTCTATCTTGTGAAGCATACAAGACCTGATATCGCAAATGCAGTGAGAGAACTATCAAAGGTACTTGATTCGACAACACCAAGAGCAATGAAAGAGATGAAGAGGATCATCAAGCATGTATTGGATACGAAAGGACTTGGATTGAAAATTGAACCAGTGATTGGATCTAAAGGTTTACTATGGAACGTCGTTGCGTTTTCTGACAGTGATTATGCAGGAGACCCAGATTCGAGAAAATCAGTGAGTGGTTTTATGTTTATCTATGTGGAGTTCCAATCTGTTGGAGAAGCAAAGCGCAACGAACAGTGACTTTGAGCAGCGCAGAAGCAGAGTGGGTTGCCTTGAGTGAAGTGGCAAAGGAAGTATTATTTATCGCACAGATCCTGGGAGTGAAAGTCGAATATCCGATTGTTATTCGAGTTGATAATACCGCGGCAATTTTCATGGCGACAAATGTCACAACAAACCAGAGAACACGACACGTGGACATTCACACAAAATTCGTAACACAATACACTGGACCGGATGGTATTTTGAAGATTCTATTTGTGAAAGGAATTGATAATGCATCCGACATCATGACAAAGAATGTAACTGGAAACCAACATGAGAAACACATCCCAAAGATGATGACAAATATTGACAAAGGAACTACACTTGAAGATGTATTTTGAGATATTTGGAGATTGGAGAATGAGGAACAGAAACACGAAACGAGGCATTAGACAATAGGTCATCTTGTGTAAGATTGAACAGTACCTGACAATAATGTGAGAAGTATTGACAAGATCAAAGCAAGATCAATACATAAGGAGAAGTGAGTTGAATGTAGTCATGGCAAGATACCAGATGCTGTGCATGACTGAGAAGCAAGACTAGAAAATAGAGTAAGGAATAATTTAGCTCACAATTGCAAGACCGATAGATTTTTACTTCTAGGGAGATTCCAACAAACTAGCTAGACCTAAGCAACGTATACCTCGTATATATCGGCTGTGTATATAGGTCCTACCATTAGGTTTCTAGTAATGCAATGTCATCTTGGAATCGCACAGGATGGATTGATATCACTTTGTTACCCTAGAATGCAAACTATAAGTGGTTAGAGGCAGCATCAAAGCAGACTTATTGTCATTGCAGCACCATTGAGCATTCCATAAAGTGTAATGAATGAGTGCTTGGCACAACGGAGTATTAATACACATGAAGGATTTCATCCTTTGGAATGAAGAACCGCAACTTTCATTTACATTTCACTTCTCTTGTTCTCTTTCAAGTGCAGTAGATAGAGGCAGAAGCAGCTAGCCATATTATATGGTAATGCGATCCTTGAAGCTGCCTTCGAGCGTCAAGTAAAGCATCTGCGTATCATGATATTGATTCGATTGAAAGCATGGAAATTATAGGAAAGGGATAATTGTCGCTCTGTGCAGAACAGAACCTAGTAGAGAGTCTTGACAACAAAGTTGAATATTGTTTTGTTTGGTTCCTCCACGCACCTCATGTTATGATGCTTGTGTTCAGCATTCACGACTAGGTTGGTGGTGATGATTGTCGTGAATAATTAGTCGTCCTTGTTGTTGGCGAATGGCTTGTTGTTGCGACCGAGTGTAGACTATTCCTGCTTCCCCTATAATAATAGTAAAGTTCCAGCCAATGCAACCACAACAAGGGGCAAGGTCGCATTGTCTCTCGGGGTACCAAATCCAAGTCACCTTGGAGGAGCAGGTGGTTGTATGGGATCTCCTCGGAAGGGTCGATACGTCGAGAAATGCCCAGATTGGCAGTGTAATTTGGACATTCTGATTGTTGGCACTGAACGGCAGTTTGAAGCTCGCGGTGCAAGAAAATGTTATATTCAGATCATCATCCTCATTATCAAAGTGTAGAATGCTGAAAACCCGTCCGCTTCCACCACAATGCATCAATCCGTATCTGACAAAGACTCCTCTGCTTGCTGTATAGACAAAGATGACAGAGAGTATGATATAGATAGCTATTGATATAGATAGCTATATATATATATTGGGACCTTTTTTTTCATTTTTTGTATACTTTCATCACATCAATAATCTATTGTGGTGCGTCGCGGACAAAGACCAAGCCTTCGATTGTTAAAAAATTTCCGATTATTCTATAGTATATATAGACCTACTACCATATAAATGTAATCGTTATGTTATTACGAGGGTGTTGACTGACAAAGTAGTAGATGTGAAAGATAGTAATGTAGATCGAATCTGTTGCTATCGTCGTTTCATCGACAGGCTTCCGCGAAGGCCGATCCTGTTCACTTACGGACACGAACCATTGCATGCGTGTGCAATAGCACGGTAGCCTTCATTTGGTCCCCTCAAATTGGGTTTCAACGTTGGGATCCAGTTCGATAACTCGTCTAGTACGTCCATTCCTCAAATAATCGCCCTCTCCTTTCTAGTGTCAATCGTTTCGTGAAGGCATCAGCGAGGTTCAACATTCCTGCAATCCACGATACGTCGACAACTCTTGCAGTCACGTTCCACCTGGTGTTATGATAATCGATCGAATTATGCTTCTTGTTCAAAGTGGATTCGACCATCGTTGAATTCGTTACCACGCTCTCGTTGTCGCAGAATACGTGCGATGGTCCTTCTTCCAAAGGTATTCCGAACATCCTCAATTTGAATCTCAAATGCGTGATCGCTTCGATGCATGACTTCAAAGCAATGAATTTGGAACCAAAAGTACTCGCTTCTACCGTATTCTGTCGCTTGCTGTGCCATAAGATAGGTGCCCGGTTGAGGAAAATTATGTTCCCTGTATGTGATTTCCGCGTTTTCTTATTGGCACCATGTGAAGCATCTACCCATGCAGTACTTCCTACACTTCGTCCCCTCGGTTTGGGTGTGTTGTGTGGCATCTCTTCCGTCGCATCTTGGTAGTATGCCTCAAAATCTTCCCTGGAGGATCTTAACTTGGAATAGTCTACGTTTGGCGTCCTCCAATCATAATAAAGGGTCAATTTGGGGAAGGTATCCAAGAAAGCAAATATCCTCAATGCTTGCTCCATGTGTCCTTCCCTTGGAGCTGCTTTATACTGGCTCAGGTAAGATATCGACTTGTCCAATCTCTGTCGCCCATCGTAATATCCCAATCAACTCTTAGAAGTAGGTATGGTCTTCTTGTCCTAATTTGCTTGATCCATCCATCTCCGGTTCATCGGCACTAGTCATCGGCGTTGGTGCATTCTTGGGTATTTTCCATTTTGGGCTGTCCTTTAATGTTTCCTTGACGTTTTTGACTGCTGCCACGACGTAGTCATAACTTGACATCGTCCACATGTTGTGTCCATCCAAAGTCTTCTTTTGTAACCTAGCTCCCAGGTAGCTTTTTGGAGGTTCAATCTTCCCTTTCTTGAACTTGAATATCCTTCCAATTCCTTCCATCACTTCTTTGGCTTTCATCGATATACAGAGGATGTCGTCGACGTAGCAAAGGGTGTATACGTAGTATTCCTCGCCGTCAGGTTTCACTGCCGCTCGCATCCAAACGTCTGGGTCGGCAGTTGACGAGCTGAAGCCCAAATCCTCCAAAGTCTCCGCCAGGGATGAACTTTTTAAGCCATATAATGCTCTTCTTACGATAAATACTTTGCCTTCTTCTTCACCAAACTCGGGTCCTGCTACCAGGTAGCACTTTTCGATTGCTGGTGCAGTGAGGAATGCGTTTTGAATATCCGCGCATTGCAAGTCCAATCCGTTTAGCACTGCTATCATTAGTAGTATCCAAACTGAATTGCGGGACACTACCGTACTATAGGTCAATGCTGCGGGTGCTTCAGTCTTGTGTCCATCAGCGCAGTACCTCGCTTTCCTTCGGAAGTACGTTCCCAGTACTTCGATTTTACTTTGCCAAGGAATCGCTTTCGCTTTCGAACATTGTGGGGGATCCACCATGCAAAAGCGGGTTTGTCTTGGATGCCCTTGCTTATCGCGTAATCGGCCACTTCAATCGGGAAAGACTCCTTCATATCTTTCAGAGGTATTCAATTTGAGGAACCATCTTTCCAAGTAACGTAGAAGTCCCACCCTGCTGTCGTGTGCCGTCTTCATTGCGCTCCACTTGCGAGGGGATAAAAGGCATCTTTCATCTTTACTGCCTTCTCATCAGAACGATGTTCCGTGATCTCTTCCATTAGTAAGTGTCTGTGTCCATGTTCGTCCACTTGTGCTAATAAGTTCTCTGCTAGCAAGTTTGCAGCGAGCACTTCGGTGCTTCCATCTTCGTATTCAACTTTGTATTGCCTTGTGTCAAGTAACTGGTTGTTGTTTGCTACACCCATTGGGTTTCCTTCTGCATCAACGAGTCTCCTGTGTACAACTGCACGTTGCAACTCCCCTTCTTGTCCCCGTCTTAGGCCAATCTCCATGTTGACGTAGTTCTGTGCGTCGATGTTGTCAGTCTCTGTGGTCCCCTGGAGCGTACCATTGTCAACATCTTCGGCCTTGATCAACTTGTTGAAGTTGCATTCGTCTTCCAATCCAAGGTCGAACATCAGTTGTGGCGGTATCTCATCTTTCCCCCAACTGATGTCTCCTGTCCTTGCATCAAGGATTTTGGATACATCGGTTGTCCAATGCGCCATTTGTTCTTTGACCATGTCGGTCTGTTTCTCTGTTTCTGTGATGTTCTGTACAGTGTCAGTCGAGATTGGGCGGCCACTCCTCGGTAATATCCAATACGTCATCATCGGACCCATCCTGTGTGACACTCCCAATCATCGTCTTATTTCGTTTGTCCCCAGGGCGCCGTCTGTGCGGTAGTATACCCATCCATAAATTGTAAAGTCCATGTATTCTGTAATGTCCGGCGTGATGCCAGTGTCAGAATATCTTGAGTAGTTGGCGGTGATGCTCATTGTTCATGGTATCAACCACATAATCAAGCAAAAAGTCCCATAGCCGTTCTGGTATCGCATGCTTGACTATCAATCTGTAGAATCGTCGCTTGAGTTCTCTGATTCCCCCTTCGGCTGGGTTTTCTTCCGGTCGGTATGGTTTGGAGATGTTGTAGTTAATTGCGGCTCTGTTGATCGTTTCCATAAAGCTCGTGTTGCGTCCCACTTGTACTGCTGCTCCGTCCATCGTGAGGTGCTCTGGTATACCGTAGTCAGCTATGAATTTCTTGAGGGTCGGCCCAACTTGCTTTTCGTCCACTTTTGAGAGATGATGGCAACTGTAGAAACCGCTCTTGTGGAAATAGATCTGGCTTGCGATGTTGCCTCGTATCGACTTGTGGTTGAAATAGGCCGTGTCGGTTGAGAACTTGCCTTTCAGTCTTGGTCTTAGGAACATGCGGTCCGCTCGGTACCTCCTTGCCAGTGGTAGTATGGCGGATCGCGTTCCCCTTTGTAGCGTCGATCTCAAGGTGGCTCGTGCTCTGTGCAAACCGATTCCTAGTCGTTCAGATAGCGTCTCTGCCGTTGCTTTGGTGTGTCGTTCCGTGGATACAAAGGACGGCCTCACAGGTACGTCTGCAAATCGTGCATCATCGTCCATTCGTCCAACTTGTTGGAAGAATCTCTCCCCATCGACTATTGTCTGCTGTACTGTGCGCCATTCGTTCATTCCTTGCATGATTGCATCCAATTGTCTCAATTCAGCTTTGTTGGATTTTGGGTCATCTATTGGGTCTTCGTGGACAATTGAGATTTTCTTAAGTGGGCAGTCATAAGCGGTCGCCCCAGATACAATTGGTACATATATTGGTTGGTGGTAGAGCTGGGTCGTACGCGTACACGTCCGCCGATCTTGGTGTGTAGCTCATGATAACAAAGTTCTTGCCAAGGCAACAAGTGTCGGCGTTAGTATCCATTTCATTGCTCGCCGTCGTTCCTGGTGTTGGTTGTTGCACTGGTCGCTGGGATG